TTATCTACGTTTTCTGCGGCATTCATCAGTCTGCCGATTAAATTCGGTACATGAGGACTAATGTGCACCTCATCTGGTGTCTAACGAAACTGTCGTTGTTTTCAGATGGATCTTCTCGACATACTTCGAATCAGGACCAAGTGCACGATCGCTCGCGCCATGCTTCGATCAACCCAACTACAAGGCCACCTGGAAAATCACAGTTCATCATCCGGCTGATATGATCGCACTCAGCAACATGCCCGAAGAAGGCTTCACCATTCAACCAAACGGTCAGTTTGCTATTACAAATTGCCTCGCACACTTCATAGCATAGCGCATATTCCATTCGCACAATAACGCTCCAATCAGTTAAGCAATTCAAACAGTCACTGTAGTAAGGTGAAACGAAAGCTGAATCGCTACTTTTGACAGATTAATTTGCATCACTTCTGTGCTGCACTTACTACTGATTGTACTTGAGCACATAACAGACCGATCCGTAGTCCTTCGAATATCCTCGAAGTTGATCATAATGTTGAGTCATTATATTTGCATTCGTATTGATTTGCACAATCCCATTCGTTGAAGGTTGGGCAACAAGCTATTTCCCAACAACTCCGATAATGTCCAGTTATTTGATTGCTGTTGCGGCCGGTCATTTTGCATCACTGCAAACCGTCTCGAAGACTGGCGTATTGGTACGTACGTGGGCATGGACCGGTATGGAGAGATATGCTGAAACCGCTTTACGGGTTCGTATCCAAGCGTTTAGAAATTCTCAGCTGAACGTTGTCAAAATATCCCGAGCATTCATTTTGCTCATAAACACCGCAAAACACTCGATGTTGAGCAACGACTCATGCACAGAATGAGAATGACTCTTTGAAGTCAGCTAATTCCCGAATCTACGGATCATATTCGTTGTGCTTATATGGCTTAATAAGCCGAAATAAGTTCGTATGGATAAATAACCTTCCAATATCATCTTATTATGAGCAGTAAATGACGTTCTTCGGGGTCTGATCTCCGAAAACGATCATGTTCCGAAATCAAAAATGAGAAGTTGAGAAAGGAAAACTCTAAATCATTTAAAAAACCACAAATTCTTTGTTTGAGTCATTAAATTAACGAAACGATTCATACTGCAGACGGCAGCCGGTCAAGTTGATTTCATGTCGACATACTTCAAATTCCCTTATATGCTTCCAAAACTCGGTGAGTGGCAATCGTTATTGCGCTCAATTTGCACATTATCATCAATGGTCGTTCATTGATGATCGATTGTGTTATTTTCAGCAATTGAACGATTCGTACATTCATACACAGAAATCTCGAAATGATGAAATTNTTTTCTTACGTGTAGATCATCGTTGAAGGATTTCTACTCTGAAACTATTTGAATTCGAAACTGACATTTGAGTTGTAAGAATAGCAGAGAAAAAACATTTTGTTCATGTATCCAGAATCTGACTTGTGAGATGCTGATTTTGGAAATTTCAATTCGTTTTCACCAATGAAATTTTAATTCATGAACGAGTTGCGGTTTAAGCAGGAAAAGAAAGAAGTTTTGGATGCAGAAGGTGATAGAGATTGATTTTAGATGTTCTGGCACTACCACAATACACAACTATGCACGGCGCTGAAGAGCATTGGGGTTTCATCCATATTCTCTATCGTTACATGCTGGCTGATAAGGCGTATGCAACTGCCGATGACTATGCTTACATCGCTTCGATCACATCACACGAAACCGTTCATCAGGTTCGTTTTATATTTTTCAGATTCTTCACTCCATCCTGATTCGTATAGGTCAGCAATTAGAGAAATTATGGCAATTGTATAGATAAAACAAGCGAAAGAGGTGCACATCTCGCCATATATCGTGATTAGTGTTCGTCGGGGAGCAATTTTTCGCCCGGAGGGGGGGGGGGGGGGGNGCGTTGCATTGAAATGTGAGTATTATTTTTAGTGGTTTGGTAATTTGGTGACAATCGAATTCTGGCCATACATCTTCCTGCAAGAAGCATCTGCAAATTACTGGGAAACCAACGGCTCCAACAGAACATTCCCAGAGCAACATGCGAATGCTGTATGCTTTAACTGATCGTTAGTTATCCAAAAGGTATGAGTGATGAATGTGAGGATACACTTCGGATCGTTAAGATACACTAATGTCGTGGTGCCACGATGATCATATGCTGTTCTCAGTTACTATATCGGATATTCATTTGGGAATTTGATTTCAGAAATTGGAGCGATTCTTGAAAGCTTATAGTGGTTTCATCACGGACTCTTCGACGAGAACCTCGAAGCCAGTTGTGCCGGACAAACCATTGTATTTCACTGGCATACCGTACAACAAGGTGTTATCTTACTGCAGCCATACCTTGCCCATATCCTGCAATATAACAGCTAGGTAGTCACTCCGTACAGACGAAAGTGACGTGAAATGGCATCTAAATCCGTTTAGTTCACTTATCCCATCTTGACTTCTATATTGCTCTCAGTCATTTAAATTAAACCGTAACAATTACCGTATTGTGATTGCTGATATTGTAACGATAAACCATCTGCAAGCAATACTTCCAACCAGTGCCTCATAACCGCACATCTTAAAGGATTACATTCACTACGCCTATTTTATTCTTCATCCTACTTCACGAAATGAATGATCATACCTGACGTTTCATTGAAGGGCGCAACATTGCTTTATATGATGAGTCAAGCACTAGGTGCACCGGTCTTCCAAGAAGGTCTACAAACCTACCTGCAGGCATATCAATACAAAAACGTCATTCCGTCCAATATGTTCACTCATTTGACTGAGGTGGCGTTTACACTGTTCATTTTTGTGGTTGTAATCTTCGGAAGTTATTCAAGAATCGACCGAAATTATGGAATGACTGTTGATCATGAGTTGGTCATATTACCGTGTGACCACCGACCGTTTTTCCAACATCCAAACGATGACCATTAGTGATCAATCGATTTTGAGCCAGATATTTTCATTTTGGATGAACTGAAAATCCCCCTTCATTTGTTCTCATCTGTAAAGGTAACCTGATCTTGGATCGAATATTCGGGGCTTTTGGTATGCANCTTTCGATTAGCACAAACTTTCTTATTACAATACTATTGCTGTCTCTGAGGTTGAGTTGGTAATATGAAGCGGTAATAAGAAGCACATGCAGTGAACGAGTTGTATAAAGGTGATACAACAGCTAACAAGAATCTCTGAACAGTATAATGCACGGTAGAATGTAGGAACACTATGTTATGGATCGTTTGATATATCTTATCACACTACGTGTATTATTTGACCGTTTGAATATTGTCAAAAACTGATATGCAAAAGGTTAGAAGTAATTCGGACTTCTTTTACAGGCAACTTATCCGGTACTGAAGGAAACTGTTGATAATGACAACAATGTTGTCTACTCACAAGAACCATTTATCAAGAACACAAGCGCTCTTCAAACTTCCACTTACGGTTGGGTATGGAATATTCCAGTGCATTCACAAATGCAGGGCAAACCAGGTGAGACAAATCATTGCTAGTTTGCTCATGATCACTTTGTTTATATTCAATACTAACAGACTCATTCAAGAAGTGCCACTAAATGATCGATTACATTCGTTTTATAGCCATTAGATCACCACGTTGTATGATTTGTATTTACCTGTAAGCGATAGAGCATCAACTGAATTGTATCTTGATTACCTACTTATGTTTTTATGACAAGTAAATTCATGTTAAACATATGTGAATTCCTGAGAATATCAACGAAATATTGTGATGAATCGCAGTCTGCGATGTTCCCACTACCACTCAGCAATATGCCCTCACTCGAAATGAATACCTGATTGCTCATTGTTAGGAAGAGTCCTGAACTATTTCGTCGGTAAAGACGGAGGTTCGAATGCGCTATGGAAACGAACATTCGACGGTAATTGGCAAGTCGACAATGCTGCCCTAGGCGTATGTCATTTATGAGCATCACACCATCACCACCTAAGCACTTGCTCAAAGCATCATCACATCATTCACTTTTGCTACCTGATAATATTTCTTGATGATAACGATTCATACATCCAAACGTTTTACGTGATCATCAGGGAATGCATGAGGAAAGCGAGAAACGTCCTCGCTTTCATGCCTATAGGATCAATTTCTCCGTGAGCGCACAGACACTGAACTTAGTGACTGTGGAAGAAAGATTATGAAAAAAAGATTGCACTGCCTACACA